TAACGCTTCCCTTTCTCGGGAAGGATATTTATAAGGCTCAGTCTTTTAGAAATCTTCCTTCTCCATTTCTTCTGGTCACCTCTACCTAAATTTTAGATGAGGGGAATATATGTACATATGGAACAACAGCTTCCAGCGCGGATGTCTCTGGATGTCACTGGTGTCTTCTTCTCCACCAGGCATCAGCTTTCGGCATGGAAGTCTGGTGTCATCAAGTGTCTAGGTTTCTGGGCAAAAAGGTGGTCTATAAGTCTATGTGGGAGGGAAGCCATGTATCCATTTGATGTTGATCATACATACACCTTCTGTTGGGGTATGGTTACAAAAACGTGCCCCAACAATCCTCCCCCTGCCAAGTAATGGACAAATGCGTTTGTGCTACTCATTATTCATCTGCCTTTCATCAGTTACTATGAAAGCAGGCCCATTTCTAGCAAAATGCATTTTCCATTACTAGGTGAAGCCAGATGTACCGAAACCTATAGGGAAGATAAGGCTAATCAAAATGATGGTATGCCATTCTAGATGTTTATTATTCCGAACATTAGTGGGCATTGTGCATCCTGGCAAAGGGGTTTTTATGTGTTATTATTCTGTCAGCACACTGTTATCAACATAGGTTATGGGGGACAGTCATATCATATGTATGGAAGTAAGCAAGGTCATCTGTCTCACCATTTATGGGTATATATACCACCCTTCCACTTTCTTCTTTGGCCTTGAGGAGTAGGCCATCCTTGTGGTAAGTCCTCTCACCCCATCCTTGCCTCTTGGTGTGCTGGTTTCATTGCTACCTTCTTTCTGCTAACAATACAGTTAGAACATTTCCCTATTACATATTATATATAAAAAATATTGGGCGCCAAGAAGTCGTTTAGAAATAACTGACTAGTCCAACTCCTAAAACATGCCAGCATCTTTATTTAAGTACCAATCAAGACATTCGTGTGGTATAGTTATATATATACAATCAAAGGAAAGGATAATTATAGTTAGCTGAAAGAAATTTCTTGGTATATAATGATTAGCCTATGACATGATGACTCTTGCTAAATAAAAAATTACAGAAAACAAATTATGAAAGTAATCATTAAATAAGGCACGAAATATGTAATGATAAAATGAATCCTTCCATGTTATATGGTGAGTATAATATATATATGTTGGGACACCTCGTGACCATAATATGCCAAAGTAACCCGGAACCCCACCTGGCCTAACCATGTCCCACCTTTGTCCATTTGGGTTACCAACCTCTGGTGATTGCGAGGTGTCGAGATGGAGCCTGAAGCCACCTTTAGCCTTGGCAGCACTGAGCCAGAGACCGAGATCCCCTTCCTGGTGGTCAAGTCACCTGACCTGTGGTGGATGACCTGGCCCCACCAACACCAGGATAGTCCAAGATGGACTCAGACACCCCTCCCTGGTGATCAAGTCACCTGACCTGTGGTGGATGACCTGGCCCCACCAACACCAGGATAGCTTGAGATGGACTCAGACACCCCTTCCTGTTGGTCGAGCCACATGTCCGATGGTGGCTGACTTGACCACAAGCCAGTCCAAGATGGACCCAGACGCCCCTTCCCTGTAGTCAAGCCACCGACCTATGGTGCTTGACCTGACTCCACCACGAGCCCTGAACCTTTCCCAAGCTGACCCCATGATGCCCAGAATCAACAATAATAATAATATTTTTTAAAATCATTTTTTAATTCAATATTTTCATAATTTTTATTATTATTTTTTTGTGAATATATCTTTTATATTTTTATATTTAATTTATTTTTATCATTTTTTAAAGATGCCTTTTTTAATTTTTTATTTTCATAGAAAAAGAAGTGATGATAGCCTTGGGGGGTGAGTTCAGCAACACTGGACAAGGAAGCGGGATATTTACATTCTGGGATATTTACATTCTTGAAGATTGACAATTTTGATATTGACATTCGGATTTTTACATTTCTTTTTATTAACAAAAAAAATTTTGATTTTTTTTTAGAAGAAAAAAAGACTTGGAGTTGCGGAGGGCGGAGGCCGCTGACTGCGGCCTTGGCTGCCCATTTTTTTGAATGATGGACACTGGGTGGCTGGATGACTAGGTAGGTTGGGGGATAATGGGACTTTGGCACGATAGGCCCTTTTTTTTTCTTTTGTATAAAGTTTAAAACTCCTCCCTTTTAACTTATCTGCAGTTTTTTTTTTAACTATATATATTTTTAATCTTATATGCGCGTGATATTATTCAAGTATTTTTTCTTTGTTTATCTATATTTGTAGTGCATTGAAAATTTATTTTATTAGAATAAATAAAATATGTTTAACCCAAAAAATTGATTGGTTAATTTCCCCATCAACATAATTGCTAGCCGGCACAGCTTTAGGTCTCTACATGTGCCATAGATGAATTAAATTTGTGGTCTGCCTTTCTGCAGCCACTGGCGCCCTATTTGGACATGTAGAGATCTGGAAATAGTAAAAGTATAAAATCATCATTGTTTTTTAACAATGACTTTCTTCTTCCATTATACCCAAAAAAATATATAAAATGCTCTCCCTCATCAATGGCGCCCAACGTGGGGCTCGAACCTGTTCTACCGCGTTAGGGTAAAGGTTCGAGCTGCAGTGAGAACTATAAATTAATAATTTATATTTTAATAAGTCCAAAAATTACATACAATTATTAGAGGCAGATGGAGTACAGTTTTTACTCCACCAGCGCCTAGAGTATTATATAATGGAAGGAAACGCCGCAGGTTGTAGCGACGCGCGGTAAACAGCCGGCTGACATCGGGCGGTGTTCGAAAAGTGCGCGCGCAGCCCCCGGTGCGCGCGCAGGCCGGCTGGCCAGCTCGCAGAATTCCGGCGTCCCATGCCAGCGTCGCCCGCTGGCATCCTCTTATCTCATGCCCCCCTGGAGATTGGGACTTGGGACCGATCCAACGTAGTTGCTATAACGCGGGTTCGGTTCTCGGGTTCGAGGGGATAAGGTCTGCTGATGTTGAGCTGAGTTGGGTGGGGTGGTGTACGGTGGAGGCACGAAAGGTCGTAAGAATCTGCGATTAAGGCGAAGAAGGCGTCCGGCGTCGGTCCGGATGAGGTAGCTGCGACCGCGTGGAAGTTGTTCGAGAACCTTAGCAAGGAGGGTCCAATGTTTTGTGCGGTGATCCTGGACAAGGACTATTGCTCCCACTTCCAAATGTGAGAGTGGCTTGGCGTTGCGATTGTATCGCTTCCGGAAGGAATGTTCTCTTACATTTTGCTGCAAGAGGTACTGGGCCATCTGGATCTGCTGGGGCGTGCCAGAGATGGTGATGACCCGTTCGTTGCTACCAGGTTGAGACTCATCTATGGTGATCCCCGCACCAGACTCGCGCCGGATCTTCCTGATGCGTTGACCACCTTTCCCAATGATGGCACCGGCGAGATCATTTGGTATAGTGACTTGTGATGAGACTTTTTTCGGGACGACTACCATAGGATGGCACCAATCGATGGCTTCGCCGACGGGTACCTGTTCGATTATCCCTTTCGCCAACATGGTATCGAGTTGAGTTTTGACGGGGTCTCTCCAGTGAAAGGGAACGTTGTATGCCCGGTAGCGTTTGCAAGGAATGGCATCTTTAACTAGTTCGATAGACATGGGGGGTCCTTGCATGGGTTTTAACACTGTGTCGTCGAACGCTCTAGCATAATGGGTAAGGATAGACTGCTTATCGATCTCATTGGCTCTCACCGGGGTCGGCGGAACGTTAGAACTTGTCCGTTGGTTATGGCATTGACGATCATTGAATGGGGCCAGTTATCCGGCAGAAGTCCTAAGGCTTTGCATCCGCTCTTGCTCAAGAGAGGGGCGTTCAGGTGCTTGCAGACTCCAACGGTAGTACTGTATGTTTTCCCGTTGAGATGCAGTGCCGCGACGAACGATCCACAAGGACTTAAGCTGATGCCGTTGGCTCCTACGCAAGGGACGTTCTTCGGGTTGAGTGCTGATCGGGTCTGCTCATCCAGTAACAGGAATTCTGATTCTGGGATTAGATCCAGATCTGACCCGGGTCCGCCAGCCAACGGATTTGGTGTAACTTATGGTTGATATCGGTCGTAATGGTTATGAGTTCGTTGCGTACTCCAGCTGCCAACAACTGTGTTTGAGGGTCCTGGTTGGGACTGATTATTTCTGGTTGCGGGTGGCGGGATATTAGGTTTGGTTGTGGGTTTCCGTTTCTTGCGTAGGTAGGCCTCGAGAGCATTCACGGCTTCATCGAGGGTGGTGGTGGTAGAAATATGAAGGCGGCCTGATTGCCAAAGGATGGTCCATTCGGAATGGTGGGCGGCACGCAAAGTCACTTGCTGTGTGGATAGCGGGAAGGTGGCTACTTGTTGGGCGTCCACGTAGTCGTTCCAACCGTTGTTTCCAATCGCGGAAAAAAGACATCGTTAACTCCTCCGGGGAAGCCAGTTTAGGAAGCTGGATGATTTTTGTGGCGTGGTGAGGAGGAGCTCCTAATGGGACTGTCGGTGTCGGATTCGAGTAGCCATCTGCTGCAACAGTGCGGCTATGGACCTGAGGATGTCGGTGCTGGTCGGCGAGGCAGGGTTCTCTGGAGGGGTTTGGGATGGTCGGCGATTCCTTCTTGAGGGCATCTTGATTACTAATTGTCACTGAGCTGTCACTTAAAAAACGGCTATAATTAACCGAATGTCGACTGCGCCATGTTCTACCGCGTTAGGGTAAAGGTTCGAGCTGCAGTGAGAACTATAAATTAATAATTTATATTTTAATAAGTCCAAAAATTACATACAATTATTAGAGGCAGATGGAGTACAGTTTTTACTCCACCAGCGCTAGAGTATTATATAATGGAAGGAAACGCCGCAGGTTGTAGCGACGCGCGGTAAACAGCCGGCTGACATCGGGCGGTGTTCGAAAAGTGCGCGCGCAGCCCCCGGTGCGCGCGCAGGCCGGCTGGCCAGCTCGCAGAATTCCCGGCGTCCCATGCCAGCGTCGCCCGCTGGCATCCTCTTATCTCAGAACCCACGACCCTGAGATTAAGAGTCTCATGCTCTACCGACTGAGGGTGTAGGAAATCACAACTTAGAGGGGGGCTATGTCTAAAACAACAAACCTAATAGGCATCCTATGGCTTGTGTTGAATAATTAGAAAAGAAACCCTATAATCCCTGGCTTTCAGGTAGTAGCTTTGAAATAGGTTTCTAATCAGGACATGAAAGGTCAATCTCTCAGAGTGAAGTTGTGAAGTATAGGGACCCTAAGCCAGGGGTAGAAGTTAAGTAGGCCCAGACCGTAGTCGATCCTCGGAAAGCACTTGAGAATGTTAGTGTTGGGTAGTGAATCGTAAACCCTATAAATCCATCTTTCAATAGAGTGCTGAGGTCGGACTACTGAAAAGGGGGCAGACGCACGACGAAGTAAGAGGAAAGTGACTTCACCCACAGTGGCTAGGGGAATGAATCAATCCGCTTTTATGAGGTGTCACGTTTAATGGTTCTTTAATCGCCCTTATATTCTGTGTGTGTCTTCATAGAATTGTCGTGAATAGTCGCTTAGTGTCAAGGCAAGGGCAGTTTTGAAATTACATTTTTTAAAGATAGGTTAGCTTCCAGATTATTTAGAATTGTTAACAATTATTGTTAACAATCATTTATTGAGTATAAAGTATTAGTATATATAGAGCTTGTACAGAGGCATTTCTTTTGAGTAACATAGGGCTTTAGTTCCCAATTTGTTTTAATTTTATTATTTTATTTGATTTCACATTGTGTCCTGAAATATGTTATTATTTGTTAGGATCTATTGTTATTGATAAATGAGTATTTTGGCCTTTGTAGCAGCTTTTAACTTTAGTTTGTATGCACACCGTGAATGATAGGGGGGAGGGTGTATGAATGAATTGGTGTAATGAATGTGTAAGAAGGTTAAAAACTATTATATTGTGAGCCCAAAATACATTAGAATAGGGTTAAGGATTTCAATAGGATCGATTTTTATTTTATTTTATTTTTTATTTCGAATTTTGTTAGGACCGAGAAGCCTCAAACAGGACAACTACAACTCTATCTAGTTAGAAAATATTCGCTCCCTTTTGTTAGGTCCCTCGTTAGGGGTATAATTTCCCTTTGATTTTCTTTTATCTTAGTTTAGCTTGAATTCTAAGGATTGTGGATAAATGATCCCTATCCCGACCCTCAGACTTGGAGATAGTGGGAGGCAGGGATCAAGCCGACAGCCCACTCACCTCCTCCTCGCAAGAGGAAGCGAAGAGGTATAGATTGAATTTTATGCAGGATGGGAGATTTGTTTTAGCCATGCCGTATAGCCTGGGGTATAACGGCGCGACCTTGGGTAACCGATCTGACACCGTAGTTTCGACGCTTTTAGCGTGGCTGGAGCGAGGGTGTTCCAGACGGGAGGTCCTGTAAGATTGGCATGTAGGCAGAGATTGCCCAGTTATTCTAGACGAAGTGTTTCCGTCTATTGAATTTCTTTTTGGTACCAGTTTGATCCCCCATAGCTAGCGGAAGTTTCTTCTAATAAAGGATTCGCCCTGCCATACGTTTTGTTGGAATGAATTCGAGCATAAGACCGATTCGAGAGGCAGAATGAGTAATTAATAGGACCTTCAACGAGTTTAAACCTCGTTCCATGTTAGGATAAGACTTTAAAGTATTAGTTAACTATAAGAACCACGAACGAGACACCAGAACGAGCCAATGGGTCAGATTCGAAATTAGGAAGAATAGGCCAAGAGTAGACATTTATAAACACCTTAAGTAGAGTATATATTGAGGTTCTAATTCTATTCAATTTCTTCCCCCTCATGTATAGGGATGATGTCGCACTTAGTGTAACAAGTCACACTAGGTATAACATACTAAGATTTTTATCCAAATACTACAATCTAGAGTGAATTAGGATGACTGGCACAGATAAACTTTGATATAGGTGGAAAGAAGGAAATATGGTGGCAATGAATTACTGTCAAATAATGCTTTAATGCCTTGTTTGGGCTTGAATTATTAGTGAATGACTGTAGACAATCCAGGCAGTCCACAAAGTAGTCAACATCTCTATCATATATATATAACATGAAGTCTGTATTATTCAATTAGTATATCCATTCATTAAAAAAAAGGGGTGAATGTTATGGCTTATTTGTTTATATGTATATGAATGCAAGTGTTTTTGCAATTTCACTAAAGGTGTAAATATCACCATTACCTTGTTTAAAAAAAAAAAAATTGCATGGCGCCCCCATTTATTTATGCAATAGGCAATGTGAATCGACCTTTTAGCAATTGTCAGTACTAGGAAAATAATAGGTTGTCTAAAGAATTTTTTTTTTCATTCAATAGTTTTTTTTTTGAAAGACTCAACCATTCTGGACATCTGAAAACTTGAGCTCAGTTTATTAGTAATTTAATTTTATTTATTTTTCTTTAGGAGACAATTTTTAAATTTGTTTAAATGGGATCATTAAATTTTGATGGGCAGCGGATGTAGTCCCTGTACTTTGGTTAAGTTTTATTTTAATCAGTCTATGGAGGTTGGGGAGGGTGTCTAAAGTAGCAATGATTTCCTGCTGGTCCCATATTTGAATGGGTATGAAGAAGCAGTCAAGGTGTTTAATAGGATGCGTAGGGAGTGAAGAACTACAGGTTGTTTCTCAAAAACTATATTCATAACCTCTAGAGAGTTGTTCATGTGTAAGGTTCGGCAACGACTCCATCAGCCACTTTTGAGAAGTTAGGTGGCTCAGAGTTAGAGAAGACTTGAACTGCGAGTAGAAATGTTTAAAGTAGTGTAATTGAGAGAGAGAGAGAGAGAGAGAAATCAGAGTTAGACAACCAACTCCTCAGAGGAATGAAACCACCTCACCTAGACTTGTATCATTCAGATTGATCATCAACATAGTCATATTGATATTTTAAATTTTGCCAATCTGGTTGTCACAATTTGTACAATTGTCACTATTTCTGTAGAGGTTGTGTAAAATAGGCTAGATAGTTTTAGTTATCATTAACCCATGTTTATTTTCTTGTTATATTTGGATTTGTGCTCTAATACATTTATAGAGAGGATATCTAGTAGAATATTTGTTCATAATACTCTATGTTATGTATAATGATGTCATGAACTTGTGAAGCAATTTAAGATATGTGGCTAATTTTTTTTATATATACCTTTTTTTAAAGCATTTTGAGTCATTTATTTATTGTTTGGTTCTTTAAGGTGTGATGCTTAAGAATCCATAAATTTGTCTTCCGCATTGGGAGCACCAAAAACTTTCTTCAATAATCCTCCCCAAGTTTTTGATGCTTGTGGCAGGGGAGGATTGTGAGGATGCGGAAGACAAATATATTGTAATTGATTGCAAATGGCTTAGCTGGTGGTCTAGATAAATTTAAATGGAATGAAAGGATGTCTGCTGTAGGGGGAACAATGTTAATAATAATAATAAAAAGAAAAAGTGGAGCTCACCTGTATGTGAGAGTGTTGTGGCAGGGGAGGCATGAGTCCCTGAGGACCAATTCTGACAGCCAACTGACTACTGTAGCATGCAGTCTGGACTACAAGGCAACCCTACTCCAGGTCCAGAACCCCATGGACACCTTCAAGGAGGTAGCATGCTACAGGAGCTCACCACTAACCAGAAAGTGTGCGTGAAGAACTACACCAAGCCTGGTGTGGGAGCTGGAAAGTGTGGCTGAAGGAAGATTTTAAAGGCCTATAAACCTCCCTGGCCTTCCTACGGTCTAAACTCCCCATGTGACCTGCTACACCCCGATGCCAAAAGTCTCTCAGTGAGATGTCAAGAGCCCCTCAGTGAGATGCCAAGAGTCCCTCAGTGATGGAGGCCGACCCGCTCAGCAGCCTGGAGATGACCAGACAATGGATAAGCCTGTGGGCCCCCCACCACCACCAACAACCTCGGCCTTCAACTGAGAAGAGGACCCAGATCCCATCACCCATGGAGACAGGCATGAAATTGTCTTTTGCTCTTTGTTTTTTTTTATTTAAATATTTAGAGTTAAAAAAAAATGAACGTAATATATATTCATTGTAAAACCGTAATAATATTAAGCATTTTTTTTTTATTTTATTAAAAGGCTCTCAGAGTTCGCTCATAGGGGGCAGCATGGTTTGAACGGGAGATGGCGCCAAAAAAAATTGAAAAGAGAGGAACGAGGCAGCTGACCGTACCGCCGGCCATTTTTTTTTTGGTCGGTGGTTTTCCCCCTACAGTAAGTCATTCTTTCTATTGCATTTTTAATTTGTCTAAACACCAGAAATAGTCCATCATAGGTTTTATGTATGAATATATATATATATATATATATATATTTATTTTTATTGAATATATTTCAATATTATTCCCCTTTTTTTTTCTTACATCAATTTTGTTAATAAATTTTGTCAGATGAAATAAATGCTAGCCTATTCAATGCACAACCTTGACACCTAAGGGGTACAAAATGTAATAAATATTGTGACAATTAGCTTCAAAGGTTGGCTTTCTGTAGTCTAAACAAAAAGGGACAGCCGGGCAATAAAATAGATAAATACACGTCCCAACATATATTGAAGTAAACATATCATGTAGATAGTGATTAAATATGTTAAGATATAAGTGATAAAAATCATCCCATGATAGATGACAAAAGAAAACTACTACAAGATTATATATGGTGACAAAATATATATAATTAAATATTTAATATAAATATTAATATCATGAATATCAAAATAAAATTGTTGAAATGAATAGTATATGACTATAATATAATATATATGATATAAAAATAATAACATATTGAATAAGAAAATGTAAACATAATATATATTTGTGCGCTGAAGGTTCAAGGTTTAGTATCTCAGTTAAGTTTTCAATCTTATCCAGTCTGGAATCACGAGTTAATCACTGGGTAATATTCGTCTATCCCGATCCTACTGGAGGGTGGGTTCTCTCTTGTGTGTAGATTCCTCAAATTACAATACTCCCTCAACCCAGATGGGAACGTCATTTAGGATCTTGGTCAAATGGAACATACCCCAGACCTCTATTAAACTACACA